CTCTGCTCCTGCTTGTGCTTTGGTTTTTATATTAAGGGTGTTTTGTCAGCCTAGAATTTGTTTGGCTCCCTTTTCCTGTTATAATCTTATTTTTTATTGGGATTTATCTCAAATTTATCTCCTCTTGAATCCTAAGCCAGTTCTATTATCAATCACAATCAGAGAAACCCCTGCCTACCCAAAGTCCTTTGCTCTCATCTCTTGGTGAGATGTGGTGTTTCAATGTTTATTTCTCTATCTTCTCCACAGTGCCATACATCCCCAGCGAACACAGACCATGTTTTGGGGTCTCTATGGCAGCACATACTCAGTGTCCTGCATGCAGTAAAATTAACAGATGTTTTGAGTTTATTGTGTCTGGAAAGAACAAATGGCATGTGTCTCCACTTTTGGGTGTTACTGTAATCAGAGACAGAGCTTTTATTTTGTCCTGGTCTCAGGACAGCCTGGTCTCAAATAAACACACAGAAGCTTATCTCAATTACAAAATGCTCTGCCCATAGCTCAGTCTAATTACTAACTAGCTCTTACAACTTAAATCAATTCATTTCTATTAATCTACATTTTGCTACATGGCTCGTGATTTAACCTATCCTCAAGCAAGTCTTGTTCCCCTGAGGCTGGCTCATATCTCTTTCTTGATACAAGGTAGAGTCATTGAAGAGGAGGGTGCCTCAATCTAGGAAAAAACAAAACAAACAAACAAAGCAAAAAAAAAAAAAAACCAAAAAACAAAAAACTCTATTAGATGGGGCTGTAGACAAGCCTGTAGACCATTGTCTTACTTAGAGATTGATGAGGGAGGATCCACACCATTGTAGGTGCGGCCACCCTGGGCTGGTGGTCCTGGGTTCTGTAAGAAAGCAGGCTGAGCAAGCCATGAGTAGCAAGCCAGTAAGCAGCCCTCTCCATGGCTTCTGCATCAGCCCCTGCTTCCAGGTTGCGACCGTATTTGAGTTCCTATCCTGATTTCTTCCATGATAGACTACAATGGATCTGAAAGCATAAGCCAAACAAACCCTCCCTCCCCAATTTGCCTTTGGTTATGATATTTCATTTCAGCAGGAGAAAAGTGTCAAATTATTCATTCAATCGATGAAGACATCACTGTTTAGGGATCCTTGGGGTGCTATTATTCAAGATACAGATCCTGTAACAACGTCAATAGACAATGGCAGCAATCACTCGCAAGAAGTCAGGAAATCAGAAATGGCATGGAAGAAAGAACTCTGAGGTCAGGTGAACACAGGTTTCCATCTTTACAGCAAAGGGGATTTACTTCTAGTCATAGACACATTTAGCATAGTGCATATTATCCGGCAAACATTCAGTAATTAGGAAGCTTTCCCCTGATAGCTGAAGAACTGAATGACTGTCTCTTTCTAAATAAGCCTTCATATTTTTCGAACAGGTATGCATAGAATGTTTGCTTAAACACCGAAGGAAGTTACAGTGTAACCTTAGAGCCAATGATTTCACAAGGCAGAGTTTTCAGAAGAAGAATTATGACTATGACAACTAAGGCATTAAATTAGATATCAAAATATTAGCTTTTCATATTGAATTCATTTTTATTTGAAAAATGAATGACCTTGATGAATTTTCTTTTAAAACAGAAGGGCTCTTTGTTTTTATTTATTTCTTTCTGTTTTTGTTTTAATTATAAAGGTCTGGTTGTTCTAAAAAGGTTCTTTGACTCTGGAACTGTACTTATATTTTTGAAAGTTGCTAGTATTTTTGTAAGATTATATATGAGGTCTGGAGTTTTAATGCTAACACAAATTCATGGGAATAATCTTTAAATGACTATGGTTACTCATCTACACCCCATACAGAAAACATACTCAGAAAGATTTTCCCTTGTATGAAATTCCTGAGCCTTGGGAATTTGCAATGTTCCAAATACAAAAGTCATATTTATGAGGTGACTTCAGTGTTAAATTCAGATATTATACCATCTAACTCTCTGCGGTTCACAGTGACTTTAAAATACTTACATAATGTAAACATGTTTTTTAAAATTATTTTACATTATTACTTCACAAAAATATAGTAGGTTGTGTGAACGGCCATTTTTTTTTTTTTATTTTATAAATAGTTAAATTTTTAAACTGCATTCAGCGCTTCACTCTTCTTTCGGAAAGGGTGAAAGCTTTGTCAGTTTTGGGATATATTTACATCCGTGGGTTTCTCGGTGATGGTGCATAACATGTGGGTCATCGTTTTAATTTTTTTATAACCCCTCCGTTTCCCCTCCCCCCTTTCCTACCAGTTCCTCCTATCTCCCCACTGCTCCCATGGAGACGAATCACAGCATATCGAGGCACAGTAAGAGTAGGCACCTTCCCTCACACCAAGCCGGCCAAGGCAACCCAGGCTGGGGAAAAGGAGCTGAAAATCCAGCCAGGAGTCTTAGTTAGGGTCATCCTTATAGATTCCTAGGAGTTTCCATTGCATTAGGTTCCTAGCTTGTCCCTGAGATGCTCCCCAATTCCGGTTGTCGTGCCCCACACCTGATCCCCCCCCCCACCCGTTCCCATCCCCACCTCCGCACCCCACACCGCCTATCCATCTGAGGTGCTGGATCATCTATCTTTTTGATATTATGTGAGGCAGTCAGTACTCCTAGTAATATTGTCCCTTCCCAATTTGGTCTATATGTAGAAATTAAGACTGAAAGGGCGGATCCCATTGTGCTGTCTCTGCGAAGCATTTTAAACCGCGTCCCTGCTGTCTCTTTGCATGCCATTTAGTTCCGGCAGCCCCACTCTCCCTATTCATGACGCTGGGTCTAGAAAAAGGTCCAGTCCGACTGCCCACGAGGGAGAGTTGTGTGCGCTTCAGTTTAGCAGCCACTACTCAGATGTCACCGTTCAGCACCTTAAAAGAGTGAGTGTGACTGATGAGTTAAAATTTTTATTTCAGTGGGCGGTGGTGGTGCACACCTTCGGTCCCAGCACTCGGGAGGCAGAGGCAGACGGATCTCTGTGAGTTCGAGGTCAGCCTGGTCTACAGAGTGAGCCCCAGGACAGGCTCCAAAGCTACACAGAGAAACCCTGTCTCACAAAACAAACAAGAAAAGTTTTTATTTCTTTTTGATATAAAAATAAAGCCACATGGGGATGGTGGCTACTATATCAGACAAGTGTAGAATGAGCAGCCAAGAGCTGAAGTAGTATGTGTGCAAACATGCTTCCTATACTCCCAGGGTTCACCTCTCCCTCCTGCTGGTTAGCCCTTAACCCAGTCAAATCCCATTTCCTCCGTGGAGCATACACTGAGTATGGGTGACTTTGTCTTTGAACGTCATGGCCTTAACACTCTATAGGCCATTAAGATGTAATTAAGATATATGTAAGCTTCAGCATAAAATAGAAGTAATACTACTACTATTTTCTACTAATTGGAATCTTATAATTTTAAATTTTATACATCTTTTTTTTATTTTATTCATCTTGGGTCATCTTCATACTAGGGTTGTAACATAGGAATGATGATTTCCTTTTTAAGTATAAACATCTGTTTAAAATCATTGATTTATTGATTGGTTTTGTGTGTTTGTGTGCACTCATTTGAGTGACATGGAGTACTTTTGTTGATCAGAGAACAACTTGCAGGAATCATTTTCTTTCTCCCGTGTTGGTCTTGGGGATTAAACTCATCTTTAGATGGCAAGCACCTTTACCTGCTGAGCCATCTTGCTAACCCATAATTTCTTTTTTATTAGGAAAACGTGGCCTAGAGAGGTGAGGTGACTTTTCCAGGTCAAACAGCCAATGCATGATGGGGACCTTGTCAGACTAGGCCGAACCAAATGGTACACGTCAGTCTGACAGTTACTGGAAAATCAAAATAAAACGAATTCTGTCTAAGACGCATCTTTTAACAGTCTTGGTTTAGTGGGAATACAAGATTGTTGGTCAAATTACAAGAATCGAGTTCTAGCCTAGGGTCATAATCACGTTCTGAAGGGCAGGTGGCTCCCTCTAGTGAGGGTTGATGGAAATAACATAGGTAGCAAATATTTAAAACTGAAGATCCGTTTCTTGGTGTGGAAGACATACAGTGCAGCGTGTGTGTGTGTGTGTGTGTGTGTGTGTGTGTGTGTGTAAGACAGTGTGTGTGTTTTGAAAGCCAGAACTTCACCAAAACTGGATTACAATTTCAGAAGATATGTTATATAGACATCCTGGCCAGGTTTAACCCACAGTGCCTTTTATGAGAAGTGCAAATTTCTAACTACGCCGTTCATCACACAGCAACTCCTTCGCCATACTAAAATCGCCCCTACAATAACTTTCATGGTAAAACTGTTACATATTTTTTTATATTTATGTGTACAGCGAAGTTATATTGTCTGTTAACGTCATTGCAAGAAGCAAAATAACGTTTCGGAAGTGTTTGTTACACAAAAAGTGACATTTGTTCTGATCATATTTTGAAAAAAAAATAGTCAATTAGATGACCAGGCATAACTACGAGCTTTTTTCTCAAAACAGAAGGGAACTGGATCTGTCCTCCAATGTCGAGGCTTTGTAGCTCCGCGGTGAGAGCAGCGTCGTGGTGCTGCGCAGGATTCTTGCAAGAAGCGCGCGGGGCGGGGCTCGCGGGGCGGGGCTCGCGGGGCGGGGGCGGGGCTCGCGGGGCGGGGGCGGGGCTCGAGGGCGGGGCGTTTCCCACGGTGGCAGCCGTCGCCAATCACAAGCCACCACGGGGCCCCCTCCAGGAAAGCAGCCGCTCCCGAACGAGCGCGCACAGCTCTGCCCCCAGCAGCGGCTGAGACGCCGCGGCCCCCTCTGCGGCCCAGCGCGGCTCCATGCACGGCTGCTGCAGCGGACACGCGCGCGCAAGCCCCGCCACGGCCTTCCGTCTCCCGGGGCGACCGTGACGCGCCCCGCTCCGCGAGCTCCCGCGAGACTTGCGGGCTGCGGCCCTGACGTCACCGCCCGGGGGCGGGGCGGGGCGGGGCGCGGCGGCCGCGGACTCGGAGGGGACAGTCGTGCACCCCGAGGGTGGCGCGCCCGGACCCGGCATGAGCGGCGCGCAGCGGCCCGAGGGGGCCCCTGTCCCCCACAGCCGCGGCCCCTGCGGCGCTGACCGTGACCCGGGGGCCTCGGGCGAGCGAGGCCCGGCCGCCGTGGGGCCCGAGGGCCGGATGCCGGTGGCCGCAGCCGGGCGCGGAGACGCTCGGGGCGCCGAGGCCGGCGGCGCGGACCCCGCGCGGGGCGCGATCGCGCCGGCAGCTGCGCAGGAGCCGGCTGGAGTGGCGATGGAAGGGGAGGAGGAGGCGGGGACGGAGGTGAGGCCGGAGGAGCCCGCGGGTGAGGACGTGGGCTTGCCGGAGGAGAGTGCAGGGGTGAGGGCGGCGGTGCTGCAGGCGGAGGGGGAGGCGGCCGGGCCCTGGCATCTGGGCATCAATCTCCGCATGAACCCGCTGGAGGCCATCCAGCAGGAACTGGACACCGTGAATGCTCAGGCCGACAGGGCCTTCCAGCACCTGGAGCAGAAGTTCGGGCGGATGCGGCGGCACTACCTGGAGCGGAGGAACTACATCATTCAGAGCATCCCGGGCTTCTGGATGACTGCCTTCCGCAACCACCCCCAGCTGTCCGCCATGATCCGGGGTCAGGATGCGGAGATGCTGAGGTACGTCACCAACCTGGAGGTGAAGGAACTCAGACACCCCAAGACGGGCTGCAAATTCAAGTTCTTCTTTCGGAGGAACCCCTTCTTCAGAAACAAGCTGATCGTCAAGGAATATGAAGTTCGTTCATCCGGTCGAGTGGTGTCCCTTTCCACCCCGATCGTATGGCGGAGGGGACATGAGCCCCAGTCCTTCATTCGCAGAAACCAAAACCTCATCTGCAGCTTCTTCACCTGGTTTTCAGACCACAGCCTTCCGGAATCCGACAGAATTGCTGAGATCATCAAAGAGGACCTGTGGCCAAACCCGCTGCAATACTACCTGTCACGCCACGGCATCCGTAGACCCAGACGTCGCCCGGTGCGGGAGCCGGTGGAGATTCCCAGACCCTTTGGCTTCCAGTCAGGCTAACCTTTGCCTTTGGAAACAGGGCCCTTCTCACCTGTGCTTGAGCAAATGCAACAGGTGTGCAGTGTTTTTGATTTTTTTTTTCCGCGTAACTTTCCTGCATCTTGTGTCTGAATAGACTCTCGCCTTCAAGATTAATACTGTGGACATCATGGCTGCTGTCACATGGCCTCCATGCTGTTCTGTATTAGTATCTGCTGGTTCATCATGGTTCAGACCCTTTCTAAGCTTAACTGCTGACACTGAAGATCACACTGCTCGGACCCTGTTGTTTTCAGTCCGTTACCTGTTTGCAGCCACCTTTATCTAGGGAGCCCCTTCTGTTTACCCGTTGAGCATGTGGCAATATGGACGCCAAGTTTGCCTACAATTGCTGGGCATTAATGATATCGCAGGGGGACAGGGGTGGGCCACCTTCTGTGTGGCTTTTGTGACTTTTTCTGCTACCACGTAATACTGCTTGCTGTTGCCTATACCAAGCTCCCCTGGCGCTTGTCAAGGTTCCTCACCCTCTCCCACCTTCGTGTTACTTTAAATAAAAAGAAGTAGTTCAGAAACGTCTGCAAGATCAGCATTTGTAGTCCATTTAGGCTGGTAGCATTTCCAGACAGGATGCTCTGTCAGAGAGGCTACAGAACTCTGGCTGCCTCTTCTCCGCTCTTGCCAGCATCCCCAGCCGGGTTAACAAGGCCTAACAGGCTTCTAGGGAGATGGAGCTAGGTGGAAGCAGGCTAGATCTTCCTTATAATACATGGAGGAACTAAGGAGATTGTGATGCCTGCCCTAAGCAGGGAAAGTGAACTGAAAAGGGGTAGGATCAGATTAAGTCAGATAAAAATTGGGCTGACTGAGGGTGTTCAAGTCCAATGGTGATGTGAGGAGAATAGAAAAATTATAGGAAGTTTTGAGTGCTAAATGCTGCCTACATAATGGTTCTTCAAAGAAACAGTACAAGTTTGGGCTATTTTCCTTTTTTTATATGTGACCTGCTGTATCTGAAAGAGTAATATTGTGCCCATATTTTACTGACATGTAGTAAAATGCTACTTGTTTCTGTTTAAAATAAAGTTAAAATACTTTCTTTTTGACAATACTGAGATTTAAATGAATATTCATAACAATTTTCAATATTAATCTAATTCTTAGAAATGTAGTTTAGATAATTTGGTCTTTATCAAGTTTGTCCAGTTATTGTCTGTATTGAAAAATCGATAATGTGACTTGATATTGTTGGTAGTCTCTTTTAAATTACGCAATAGTTGTAAAAGTGTTCTGTCAAATTAGAACTGTACCATGAGGATATTTGTTGCCATTCATATGCAAAATGGTGAATTAAAGCATGGCACTCTCTTGGATGTTCTATTTTTCACCCTGACCATAAGTGCTTAAATAGGTTTGTATAATTGACAAGTTTATGCAATTATAAAATTTCTTAAATGGACACAACCAACATTATCCCAGAGGTCTGACAAGAGAGAGCTGTGCTGGATCTCCCAGGGTACACGAGTACTTGCTGCTATCCTCGTTTAGTTGTGTTAAGATGTCGACAGTTACAGCTGTTGCTAGATGACAGCTCTTTCCACAAAACTTGAGCGGCACCAACCCCTTCAATCCCCTGGGGGCAGCACAGTAGACTCGGCCCATAGTCAGGAGCTGGGGTGGGTGGGGAGCCAGCCCCGAGGGCTGAGAGGGGCATGCCTGGTACCACCTCCCTCATCTGTGGTGTGGTTGATGGGGCAGCAAGGGAGAGATGACCTCCCCCCTCCCCCTGCCGCCTCCAGCGGGAAAGGCATCTGCAGCACTGGGGAAGTGGGCCCCGCACCTCATCTGGGCAGCACACTGGAGCCGCCCGGTGGATGTGGGCGCAGGTAAACTGGCCTGAGAACGTGAACGTGGGGAACCTAGACTCACCCCTCTTCCGCCGTATGACCACATGGGTGCGGAAGAGATGCTCCCCCCCACCCCCCATCAACGGCTGGGGTAGCTAGGAGAGCTGGCCCTGAAGTCATAAGAGCAGAACCCTGCTCCCCGCCAGCTGCAGCAGACCCTGCACCTCACACAGACTGCGCAATAGAGCCAACGTTGGTGGAGGTGTGCATGAGCCAGTCCCAGAGCTGTGAGCATGGGAGAGCTGTCCCTATCTGTTGTGCAGAGGTGGGGGGTGGGGTGGGGGACAGATGCCCCTCCCTCCTCCTCACCTCTCACCGCCTGCGACAGACAGGGAGCTGGCCCTCCCCGTTACCAGCTGTAGCACTTAGGGAAGCAGGCCCTGTTCCTTGCCTAGGTAGCACAGTAGAGCTGACGCTCAGATGAGTTAGCCCTGAGGGTGTGAGAGTGGGCTAGCTGGCCACACCTCCCTCTTCTGCCATGTGCTGGTGAGGGCAGGGAAAGATGCCCCCCCCATTTCCCCTGCCATCGGTGGTGGGCGCGGGAGCTGGCCCTCCCCGTCACCAACTGCAGCGCTGGAGAAAGTGGCCCCCGCGCCTTGCCTGCGCATCACAGCAGAGCTGACCCTGTCGGCAAAGGTGAGCGTGGGAGAGTTGTGCCCATTACTCATCTGTCAGGTAATGGCATGGGGGAGGACAGATGCGCCCCCTCCTGCCTTCCTCCTGCCCATCAACACCTGAGCAGGAGAGCTGGCCCTGAGGTCATCAGCAGGAGAGCTGCGGTACTCGGGGGAGTGGCCCCTACACCTCTCCTGGGCAACACCGTAGAGCCGGCCCTGAAGGTGTAAGTATGGGAGAAATGGCCCCGCCCCTTGCTCATCGCTGGAAGGGATGATCAGCCAGGGCAATGAAGGAGAGCTCACCCTGGTGGTGAAGACAGGGAGAGCTAGTCAGCTGACCAACCCTGCAACTACCCAGGCCAAGAACCAGGGTTATGTGTTTGCCCATCCCAACATCCACCCCATCTGCCGGAGCACAGTGGGGCTGGGGGATGGGCGGGGAACTGGTCCTGTGGACCCAGGACTGCATGATGTCCAAGACACAAGGCAGCAATGGGATGCTCAGGAGTCCCAGGGAGGGCCCAGCATCCAGGATGTAGCAGAGACCAGGGACCTCCAAAAGGACCCATGATTCTTTGCTATGAGGGCCTGAATGTAAAGATGTGCTGTGTGATTCACTGAGTCACACTATAGCTCCCATGAACCCCACCCCCATTTTTCTCTTAAATTTTATTTTATGGGGGAGGGAGATGAGTGGGATTGTATAAAGTTCAGTGAGGTGTCAAATACCCCTAATAAACATATGAGAATATTTTCCTGTCTCCTAAACAGCACTAGGTACCTATTGTTTACAATAACAGAGTGAAACATTATTGATAATCACTGTGTTTCACTCACCAAGTCACTATGAGCACATGTAAGGTAAGATGGTACCACTCCGGCTGTGTGAACTTAGAAGACACCGCACTGGAAATGCACAGCACCACAAACCGAAACCATTCTAAACATATTCATAGCTGTATTAACAATTTAGTGTATGCTCTTATTTTGCAATTCCATTATTCCTGTGTCATTATTTCCATATATGTGTTCATATTTTCAACATAATTTCAGCAAAAAAGTGTGTTACCCAAGATAGTTCACATCATGTACCCTGATCCTACTCATTTCCCAGTTCTTCCATATCTGCCCTGCATCCTTGTAGCCTCCTTCTACCCCCCCAAAAAAAAACCTCATTCACCCCTCTGGGCAATGACCTGCTCCAGTATCAACCGCAGCATTCTGTGCATGTCCCATTCCACTCCAATCCCATATACTTTCATAGCAGTGGCATTCCGAGTTGCCGTGTATCACCCTCTGTGAAACTAATCTTGTTTGCACAATTTTATTTTATTTGGATGATTGGTTTATTTCTAGTAGGAAGAGGTCAGTCTGGATATTCTGTCTTTGAGTGGGGACAGCCAACTTTGGAATACAAAGGAAGAACACGGAACTGATATGCCATTCATTGTCCACCGCTGTCTCTCACAGAATCCACCAGTCCAGCCTTAGTTGAACCAGGCGCCACCACTCCCCTCACTAGAGTTCTTGGGGGGCAATGCTTTGTTTCTTTAAACCCTTATTCCTCCACTCGTATTTAAGCATAACCATACTCTGGGAGAGAGTCAATTAATTTTCCAATGCAAAGAGCTGTAACGCTTTGTTCTAATGGGAATTGAAACATTAAATATGCAGAATTTAAGTCTCTCTTTGGTTTTGCTTATTCCTAAGGGTTAACATCGACCTTCTGACTTTAGCAAACCAAGTGATGTTGGTAATTACAAATAAATTATCTAATGCATGACTGTTTTTAAAAAGTAGATTATTTATGATTATTTATTTATCTATTTTGGTTTTTCAAGACAGGGTTTCTCTGTATTGTTTTGGAGCCTGTCCTAGAACTATCTCTGTAGACCAGGCCTCAAACTCACAGAGATTGGCCTGGGATTAATGGGATTAAAGGTGTGCACCGCCAACGCCCAGCTTTAAGTAGATATTTTAAGGAGACAATAACTTACTGTCTTGAAAAAAAGTATAATTGTTTCGACTATCACAAAGGCAAATTCGGGCTAATGTTTGTTGGCTTCATACCCATAAACATGAAGCAGAAACTAAGACCCAAGACAAATGAACATTAATATGCGTCATTTTAGAAATTAAAGTCCTCTGAGATTATACTTCCTCCAGAAATACCTAAGGGCTAAATTTGTGCAAATGGCGTTAGCGTGGCCACCTGTAAGAGGCAGCTTATATTCATTTAAAAGTGAATAAATATCCAATTGCTTCATAAACGTCGGCCAATGTGTACATACAACAAAATGGCTACAGAAATCGAAATGAATCTTTTGAATGTCTTGTTTGCGTGAGAATGAAGACAGTAACGACACTTCCTTTTCAAAATCAGATTCTGCGCAATTCCTCAGTAACCGCCATGAATTTGTGTCCTAAGTAAGGAAGGTCTGTGAGCTAGTGAATTCGTTTTTCTATTTTTTTTCTCTTTCTTTCTTTTTTTTTTTTTTTTTTTCTGCTCTTCAATTTCTGAGGAAGTCGATAAGACCCGATTCTATAAGACAATAGCTCCTATTTTTTTTTTTAATTTATTGAGACAATGGTTTAGATACTGCCGAAATTAATTCAGAGATTTACGAATATGCATTAATATAATTCTGCATCCATTTATGTAAATCAACGCAATTTCCCAGATAAGATTAAATTTACATCATCGTGTAAAAAGACAAAAAGAATACACTTGATTGACAAGCATAATTACCTGGGTAGCGAATTCTCGCGCTGCAGTTAAATGCAGCTGCTACCCTGACGTCACAGGTTGCCATGGTAGCAGCAGCCCCTGGAGGAAAAGGGGTGGAGCTAAGCACTCACTGCAGTGCTGCGCTGCGTCTGCAGAGGACAAGGAGGGTTCCTCTGCAGGGCTGACATCTTCCAAAATGAGCGGCCTGGACGAGGGCAGTGCGTTCTTTCTCGCTGACACCACGACCCCTGCCCATGCCCAGGAAGTTCTGGATCTGAACCAGGACCAGGGACTCCGCGAGGAAACCGACGCCGCGCAGGGAATGGAGGCCGTAGGTGAGGCCCGTGCGCAGGGAGGCGCGCCCCCGGATTCCGAGCACTGCGGCCCTGCGCTTTGCCCTGCAGTGGCTGAGAATCGCGGTGCTGCGGCGGTGGGAGAGGGGCTGGAGGGTGCGCTATCGCCATCAAAGGGCGGGGATGAAGCCTCAGCCCCTGATGACAGCATCGAAAATGGCTGTCAGCCTGGAGGGCCGCGCAGCCCTGTTGGGTCCAAAGCTCTGGAAGCCTGTGGTGCCGTGGGCCTGGGTTTTCAGATGATGCCGGGGACGAAGAAGACTAAGGAAATGACGGCGACCAAGTGCGCCATCTCTGCGGCTGCGGGAAAGGAGGGAGAAGCAGGGGCAGCGGTGCAGGAAAGGAAGGGCGTGCAGAAGGAAAAAAAGGTAGCTGGAGGAGGCAAAGAGGAGAATCGTCCTAGGGCCCCGAAGATCAATAATTGCATGGACTCGCTGGAGGCCATCGATCAAGAGCTGTCAAACGTAAATGCGCAGGCCGACCGGGCCTTCCTCCAGCTGGAACGCAAATTTGGGCGGATGAGAAGGCTGCACATGCAGCGCAGAAGTTTCATCATCCAAAACATCCCAGGTTTCTGGGTCACCGCTTTTCGGAACCACCCCCAGCTGTCACCAATGATTAGTGGCCAAGATGAAGACATGATGCGGTACATGATCAATTTAGAGGTGGAGGAGCTTAAGCACCCAAGAGCCGGCTGCAAATTTAAATTCATCTTTCAAAGCAACCCCTACTTCCGAAATGAGGGGCTGGTCAAGGAATATGAGCGCAGATCCTCTGGTCGAGTGGTGTCGCTCTCTACTCCAATCCGCTGGCATCGGGGCCAAGAACCCCAGGCCCACATCCACAGGAATCGTGAGGGGAACACGATTCCCAGTTTCTTCAATTGGTTCTCAGACCACAGCCTCCTAGAATTCGACAGAATAGCTGAAATTATCAAAGGGGAGCTATGGTCCAATCCCCTGCAATACTATCTGATGGGTGATGGGCCACGCAGAGGAGTTCGAGTTCCACCAAGACAGCCAGTGGAGAGTCCCAGGTCCTTCAGGTTCCAGTCTGGCTAAGAGCTGCCTTTCCCAGAAGCTCCTGCAGGAGAGTCCTACCACCTCCTCAGTGTGGCCAGCAGCATGCAGCCTTCTGTCTGCTTTCTCTATCTGTTGGATTGTGTCCTTTGGTTCTTCTAAGTCTCCAGTAGTTTTCAAGACTGGCTTCCACATCTGTGCTCTTTTTCCTCTAGGCCATCACGACATTCTGCATAGTGTTTATGGTATTCCAAGTGCATGGCCTCCCAACTGCTTCTAAGCCAAGCTCACAGTGCTGTAGTGTGTCCTGCCTTCCTTCCTTTGCATGGCTTGGTTCCCGTCTGTGACCATGTCTTCTTCCAGTTTCTAAAGGTGGTTCTCTACCACAAGAAAGCTTGACACATCCTTACCAAGGACTAGCCAAGTTTCCATTCTTTCTGCTGTGTCCCTGATGTCTGTGTACTGTGATGAACTGTGACTTTTACCACTGCAAGATGGGACTGCATCCCAACCCAGCCATCAGCCCAACAGGACATTCCAACTGATCCTAGCTGCCTTCCTGGGCCTTTGCCCTTTGCCCTGCTTGTTACCGGTGTAACAAGCGAGTGACTGCTGGGGGACCGCTAGGCATGAGTGAAGTAAGAGTCGAGGAGTGTTTTGTTTCCACACTGGCCTTGTTCCTTTGGTTACTGTACATCGTGACCAACTCCTGGTGAGTATGAAGGCCTGTGCAATTGTCCAGTAGTTCTCTCCTGCTTGAGCTTTGCACAGGCCAACGTTGCTCCTCAGGAACCGTCTAAGCTGCTAGACGGCACCCAGGACGCCCTCGACAGTGTGCACCACTGCCCATGGCTCGTGTTGGCTATTGGGCAGGATGTGTAGTCGTCACACGCGGCAGTACCCGTGGCAAAACTGGAGCGGTCTCTTCTAGCAGGTGGTCTCTTCTGAGCCCTAGCCAACCCGTTATTCCCAATCCAGGCAACTCCCTTAGGTAGCCCCCCCCTCATCCACACCTGCTCTGATTAAGTCTAAGGTGCCTAGGTTGGGGCAGTTAGAAACCATTTGTGGCACACAGAGTTTGCTGTGTCTTCCTCTCTCTGACTCTTCTCTTTTTCTTCCTTGGTCCCTTTCTCTTTAAAGCAGTTACAGCCCAGAGACAGAAAAACAAAACTGGCAGGAAGGTTCATTTTTTTTTTAACCCCTCCCCGGTGTGTACAGGCAGAAAAAACAGACACTGTAGTCTCCAAATCTCTTGCTGCCTGCACCATTTCACACTTCTCTTGGCAACATCAGAATATTTCAGGGGAGGCCGTTTTCCCTCCTCCTTCTCCATTCTACCAGACGCCGCCGTGCATTTCTTAAGCTCTAGTTTGAGTGTCTGGGACAAGAGAAAGAAGACTCAATGACAGACTGTGCCACCCCAGAGCAGGATGTGAATGAACTAACTATGACTGCACCCGTTTCTAAGGGCACTGGGTCTTTCTCAGGCCTCAGCCTGTAGAATGACCAGAGACCAGCTGCCTGCATCATCCCTGTTCAGTTTGCCTGACCTTGGCCCTTATTTATCAGCTTTTGAATTTCCTTCCTTGTTTCCATCCTAACAAAGGAGGGAGTGGGCTGTAGAGTGCATTGTGGGAGAATCCAAGCCTCTTCTGAGGGATGGGGAATGCGAGCCACGCTCCCTGTGGGTATGCAGCAGTGACAGAGGCTCCTAGTTCTGAGCCGGCAGTGTTGCCCTCACCCATTCCCTTTCTGACTTACAGGACTTGTCTGAAGCTCCTCCAGGGCTCAGGAGATCTGGATACCTTCAGCGGAGGCTGGGAATTTAGCAAGAGGACTAGAGGGAAAGGGAGCGGTGTTGCAGAGTGAGTTGTAGACCAGCTGTGATGATTGACATCTTCAGGAGCAAGGTTGGGGGCAGGGGTCCCTGAGGCATGTTCTGGGGCAGAATGGAGAGATCAGATGGGTTGGGATTTAAAAGGGATGCTTGGAGGATTTTCCTATAGTTTTACCTAACTCTCAGCTTCACCAATAGATCTTTTTTTAAACAGATGTAAGTCTGGGTGTTTTTTTTTTCCTGTCAGATTCCAGGAGTGACCTTTGTCTGTAGATCAATGGCATACACTCCTTATCCCACTGTGCTTGAGCAAACCCTATGACTCCCTGTCAGCCGACTGGCAGAATTGATGTTTACAAGCCTGCCTCTTGCTTATAATTGAGAACAGTGCAAACATTTGAATTTCTGTCCTTTGCAGTATGAAGATTCCTGTGAATATTCATTACTAGATTAACTTATTCTGATGTCTGTTCACCTATAGCTGTTATTCTTAGAAATACAATCCGCACAATGTGATCTTTGACATCTGAAAAACTGTTGCTGTGTCTTGTAAAAGTGATTTCAAAAGGAAATATGTAACTTGTCCTACTGATATTTCTTGCTGTAGAAATACTTGACATTATGTTCTTAACCAGTGTGGGGACTAGAATTGCTGTCACAGTGAGAATCTTAGTCCTTTGTCTTCTCCTGTGTGCTTGAAAGGAAACTATGTTACTGTTATGTTTCTTGTCTTCACCAAAAAGAAATAAATGAATAAAGAGAATAAAAGTCTGTGCTGTCTGGGCTAACACAGTTTGGGCAGCAACGAAGCACTTCACTTCTTTTCAGATCAAAATATCAAAATGTTTTTTTTTGGGGGGGGCAGAGGTGAGAGACTATCTGAACTGGTTTTTGAGGCTGCACAGAGAATAGCTAGGGAAACTGGGCGTGGTAGCACACATCTGTGACTGCAGCTCTTGGGAGCCAGAGGAAGGAGGAGCTGGAGTATGAGGCCATCTTGGGCTACAAAGCGCGCGCGTGCACACACACACACACACACACACACACACACACACACACACACACCCCTTTGATATGGCCTTAATACAAGATTTATAAATGGCATATACATGGTATTCATCTATATATCCGTCTATCTAGTATTAAGACTGTATCAAAGGAAGGAAACTAAGATAGAAAAGTGAGGAAGAAAAAGAGCGCAGGGGAAGGGCTGCAGGGATGAGCCAGCTGTTTGGCAAGTGACGCAGATAGACTGTGGGAGTCTAATTTTCACAGCAGATTAAGCAGAACCGAAACCACGTTAACCTGCAGCAAGTGAGTGGTATTGTCTCATCAGAAGAATACCTTTGCTAGACTACAGCTGAATACAAAGGAACGGTGGGGAAGGGCAGCATGCTCTGCTTACATCTAGGATAGGAAAAAGGCAGAGGCTGAACAATTAGTGAACCTGCAAGAAAAAAACCCCAGCTCTCTCCCCAAGCCCAGGAATCAACGTCAGCAAAACCTACATGTAGGAAATGCGCCAGGTGCCAGCAACTTCATGGACTACCCAGCTACTTGGCAGGTTTTAACTCAGCAGAAATCTTGGCCCATTTGTCAAGTTTCTGCTCAGATGGTTAAAATATTTGGCTATTCATTTTCATAAACCATATAGCATTTACACCTTTCTCAATACAGATAATACAGACATATTTAGCTTCTAAACCTATATGAAATAGTGGCTTAGTGCGTAAAGTCACTTACCCCGAGTGTGATGACCTGAGTTTAATCCTTGGGACATACATGGTAGATGGAAAGAACACAAGAACACACAAACACACACACACACACATAAAATAAACATTCTTGTCTACTAACACAAGAAACAACCAAAGGGAAAAATAGCTTTATTTTAAAGCAAAGTGAAATCTCTACTTAAAGCATACACTAGATAGCATCTTTTATTTGGCCCTAAGTTTGATTGTGCGTGCTCAGTATAACACTCCAATGACATCATGGATATCAAATACATCACTGTATATGTATATTTATTGATCAACATCAAAAATACAGAAGATAAGGGAAAAAGTTATCCTTTTAATTACCCTGAGAAATGCATCTTCATAGTACACTTGGGTTTTATCTCAACATTTACAGATTTTTAACAGGATAGTTTTTCAGTGCATATATTAGTATGCTAAATTACAAGGAAAAAATGATAATGTTTTCTAGTCCTATCTGTCTATTATGGAGAGTGAAGTTAACAGGCAAAGGGGATCAGGAACTTACGAATGTCAGGTGAACGTAAACATCTTGTGCGAATGTGATCTGATATAAATGCTGCTAATGTAACTCACCAGAACCTCACAGGACACACCTGCCCTGCCATGGAATGTACTGATGAAGCTCCAGAGTGCTCCTTCCAGACATTTAGTGCTCTCTCTCCCCAAGGACAAAGCAGAGCTGAGTTTAACTTCTTCCTAATGGGGTAAGGTATTATCTCAAGAAATCATGTCTCTTTATTAATGCATCTTGAGAGAAAAATAGCAAGACGTTTGATAGTTTAGAAAAAAATGAGTCCCACTAGACTGGTGTTTCCTCTCAATTCTGGTTACATTTTTAATTTGGACATATGAAACATATGAATATTCAGCTGTATTTATCCGTACAAATCTATTTTGGAGCACAGGTGTACTCACTAGGTCTCAAATCATGTTGAGAATCACATTCATCGGCAGGCTTGTTCAAAAGCCATTGCTGGGCCCTCATCCTGAAGTTTCTGATTCAGGAGGTTTGGAGCATGGCATTCAAATATGCATTTTCAAGATCTATCTCTGCTGGTCTTCGGGCCAGGCATTGGGAGCTGCCCAACTAGGGAGATGTATAAATACTTGCTTGCATATGTGTCTGTTATCATCTTGGGAGAATCCTCAAAACTACTGTGCAGAGGATATTAATCATGTTCTTTTTTAACTTAAAGACACTAAAATTTTTACTCTAACAAGAAATGTTAAACATGAAAACAATTTATATAAAATGATATATGTTTTTAAAAAGACAGATTAACCCATTTGGTAAATTTTCATTGATCAATTGTTCTTATAAAACATTTGCATTTTTTGAAAAATTAACATTTTTAAGCAGTATGTCTGATGCACATATGGTTGGTTCATTTTTCAGTAAATATGATTTTGCTGTCTGTGTCTTGAGAATATAAGGTATAATGGACCAATGGATAGTAACCAGCTGTTTTTGAACTGTTTGTAGAGAATCTTGTAAATTTGTAGTCCAGGGGTAACTCTGTGAGGGAGGGAAGGAAAAAAAATAATGATTGTTTTATAAGCCACCAAACTCCTTTCATAAATGCAAACAGATTAAAATTCAGCATTTCAGGAGCAGAAGAAGGACAGTAACAGTCACATTAAAGTGCATGGGAAATGACCCACTACACAAAGAACTACAGATAACTAGAGAATTCTGGGAGTGGGAGGCACAGTCTTCCCCAGGGAAGAGCACAGCACGGATTATCCAGCGCCCAACTGTTAACCTTGAAAACAGGCACATACAAGGAACATTTTTTTATGACACACCGTAGTTTGTAGTTATGTATTTAGGAATATATATGTAGATACATATACACATATGCATGTTACAGAAATTAATGAAAAAGAGGCCATGAATTTGAAAGAGCAAGGAAGGATGGATGGGAGAATTCGGAAGGAGGAAAAGGAATGGGGAAATGATGTAATTATAGTGTCAGCAAGAACCCCAAAAGGAATAATAAAACAATTCAGTGTTTCTATTCCATCAGCAGTTTTGATACTTGTGCTACCGACAGCTGGGCACTAAGGCTACAGAGAGTATAGTCTAAGTATATAAAATTTACAATATGATGCATGCCAAATCACGTTACATACACTCCACATAATCCCCAGAACTCTGCCCAAATTATATTTTATATTAGGTGCCACAGAGAGGTGTCAAGGCTCAAGCAGTTAATCTTTACCAGGAGAAAACTAGTGCTGGATAGGAAGAGGGAACATTGCTTTCTTGATGTCAGACAAAGTCATGTTTACTGTGAACAGGAAAACACTAGTAAACATCATATACTCTGGATTCTGGGTATTTAAATGTGAATGGCATTAAGTAAGTGACATGCAACAGCAATGTTACTTACAGTAACAACAAAGCTCTGTTAATACTAAATATGGGGCACTGGGCGGTGCTGGCACACACTTTTAATACTAGCACTTGGGAGGCAGAGGCAGCAGATATCTGTGAGTTCAAGGTAAGCTTGTCAACAGATTGAGTTCCGGGACATCCAGGGCTACACAGAGAAAGCCTGTCTTGAAAAAACAAAAAATAAAAACAAATAAACAAACAAAAAGAAATATGGGGGCTTGGGCTGGAGAGATGGCTTAGAGGTTCAGAGCATGGCTGCTCTTCAAAGGTCCAGAGTTCAACTCCCAGCAACCACAAGGTGGGTCACAACCATCTGTAAAGAGATCTGGTGCCCTCTTCTGGCCTGCAGGCATACATGCAGGCAGAACACTGTATACACAATAAATAAATCTCTTTTTTTTGGGGGAGGGATGTAGGTGGGTGGGTGGGGGAGGCTGGAATGATGGCTCCACATTTAAAAGCTGTTCTCCCTGACGATTGGAATTTGCTTCCAGCATCCACATGATGCTGTTCATGAACACCTGCATCTCCAGTTTCAGGGATCTTATACCCTCTTCTGGCTGTTACGCCCTGTCCCCCATCGCCTTAAAAAGTCGGGTTGATTGGAAATAGCTCAGTGGTTAGGAACACATATTGCTCTCACACAGGACCTGAGCCTAGCCAGCTGGTCAGCAAGCTAGAGAGCCATCCAAACCTGGCCTCCTCTTCCCAGAATCCACAGCACTGACTGTAACTGCAGCTCCAAGGGGATCTGTTGCCTGTGTGGACACCTGCCTGCCAGTACACATACAAACAGACACACATAATTTGAAGTAATAAAAATAAATCTTGAAAGAGGAAAAGAAGCGCTTGCAGCTTCACCAAGAGGATTAGAGTTCGGGTCCCAGCATCAACATTGGCCTTTGCCTTCCATGATATCTAAAGCTCTCTTCTGACCTCTGTGGGACTTACACACATGCATGCACACATAGTTATACACACTGCACTAAAAAGAATAGAAAGTAAAGAATAACCCTGAGGCTGGCCAGGTGGCTCTGGATCCCCAGGACCCACACTGAAACCCCACAGCTCTCTGGCTTGCTGAGCAGCTGGCTAGACTATCCTACTTGGTTACTTGGTGAGTTCTAGCCCTGTGAAGGGGAAAGGTGGATGTTGCCTGAAGAAACACACACACACACACACACACACACACACACACACACACACACACACACACACACACACACACAGAGAGGCACAGAATAGGCAAACTAAGACAAAAAACAGAGATCACCAAACTAGGAATTCAGGAGACCATGGAGTCAGCAAGAAGGCACCAGATGCATCTCTGTTGTAGGAAGTCACCATGGAAGCTGATTACTTGGAACAAAATAGCAAAGGACACCTTCTCCTGATTCTTGCTTATTGTAGCAATTTTCTCTTCAATTCTGCCACTAATACACTATATCAGCAATATTATCCCAACTGTGGAATGAAGTGAACCAAAATGAACGCATTGCCACACTGTAAAAAACAAGACAAAGAGAAAGGCTCTCGGGACTTCAACAGAGATCATTAGGACTGGAGTCCTAGAGGGTTTTATCTTTCGTATGTGTAAAGCCATGACCAGTCCAGGCTTCTTTTCTTATTCTGAGGTAAGTAATGCAATGGCATCTGTGGCTCACATAAACAAGCTAGGGGTCTGTAGGAGACTCAACACATTCCTAAAAATGTGATTACTGTGTTACACGTGTCTGCAACATCAGAACAGATAAGGGACAACTCTCCCCACTTTCCCAGCCACAAAACGACTTCTTCCACTTTGTGTTAGCTCCTCTGAGGGAAGCCAGCCCTGTGAAGTTCTCTCCTAGGGCGCAGAGAGGAAGCTCTCGGCATCAGAGAGGCAGGCCTGTGGAAATGCTCAGATGTTCTTCCAGAGGACCCTAGTTCAGTTCAAGTATCTACACTGGGTGGCCTGCACAGGCACCTACATGCATGTGGCAGACAGACACAAATATAATAAGAAACAGAAAAAGAGAGGTGCACTGAGCTAAAATTTCTAAAGTAGACTTTAGAACTAAAATTCAGTTTTCCACTTCTTACTATTCATAACCACACTTCTTGGCAATTTTGATATCCATCCAGGTGTCTGAGATAATCCAGTTTCTGTCACGTCACCCCCCAAAAATTTTGAATTATTTTGAAAGACAATAGTTTCTTTAACAGATTGTTTTTGTAAGAAAGATTTTAAGGCTGTCTTTAATTTTGTGTGTAAGCGATGAACATGTAAGAGGACCATTGAGAAAAATATACCATTTCTGAAGGACAGAATGACATACTGGGTTTGCACACTGACACACAGATGGATCTTTTAGAAGACCAGACCTCTCTTAGGGTCACCACCATCATTCTACGGATAGTTCAGGAAAGTGCCTTGCGTTCCCCCTCATATCTGCCTGTAAGAGACAACACACACTCTGGTGCCATCAGCTCCAGTTCAGGAACACGAAGCTCACACCCGATCCAGGCTTCTAACTTGAAGCTGAAAGAGCTAGAGCAGTCAGACAGACAGACACCAGAGTGAAGTCACTGGGACACTGAAGGGACAACCAACACGTAGGGACACATGATTTCCAGGGAGACCAATACGAGAAGAGGGAAGCCCGCTTTGCCACAGGTGTCCTCACGCACATGCATTCAGGCTGGAGGCTGGCGAGGTACCAGCAGCAGGAAAGCCAGGGACTTGGGCAGTCTTGAGGGCTGAGAGACAGAACTGAGTGGCTAGGGCCCAGTACAAAACAAGGGCAGAGAACTGGATTCTGCCATGTTCTCCTCAAGCCCTTTGCCCACTAAGACTTCACACAGAAAGCACACGCCTCTATATAGCAGGGCGGCTTCTTAGCCTCTCGATTAACCAGGAAAGGCTAAGTTCCCATCTGAGGAAGGAGGGCAGCCCACTGACTGTCACAGACTTCCAGTTACTACGTTTGTTCCTGAGAACTTGGACATCCCAGAAGTGCTTTTCTCTCACGTTAATAATGAATATTTCCCCAGGTGTCTAGTTTGTTCCATATGGTCACTGCTACTCTTGGAGCCCTAATTACTAAAAATTCATTCTTTCCCATGTTACCTTTTATGGCTCCTTTATGCTTCTGCATCTCCTGTGGTTTTACTCGGGGGTGCTTCATTCTGCACCCCACCTTCCTTCCTGTCTAGCTCTGTCCACTGTGTGTAATCAGCTATGAAGTCTATTAATTACAAACCAGTTTGATTTGGAAAGATTTAATTAAAAATTTTCATTCTCTTAGTTTTTGCATCTCTATAAAATGTCTCATTCTTTTGTTTTCTATGCTGGGCTGTTTCTGTTATTTTTGTGGTTTCCTAGCCTTATATTCCTGGCAATTTTTCACTCTGGGCTACACATTATATGACTGGCTTTAAGGAAGTATTCAAAGAGTCCTAGAATAATGTATTTTTCAAAAGAGAATGGGCACTCATTTCCACCAAGTATATGGAGGCATTGACCATGGATAGACTATAATTTTTTGCTATCCAGCTGTCTGAAGCTGAGCTTCAGCCCCTGTGAAAATGTGGACTCTGTCTTAATTCATCCTTACAACAGAGAATGAAGGAACCTGTCAGGCCCATCATCTCTTCTAGTTCCTACCTTAGAAGTTACAGGAGTTACTGAAAGGTTCACCCAACTTCAGTGGGCTCTTTGAGGGAAAGCAGCCCAAAGCCACGTGCATCTTACTGGGCTTTCTAAGCATCTTGTCCTGGTAAATCTCCCAACCTGTACCCAATGTTTCCAAACAGTTAATTTTTTTTTTTTTTTTTTTTTTTTTGTAGTTGGGTTCAGAAATGAGAGAGAGAGAGAGAGAGAGAGAGAGAGAGAGAGAGAGGAAAGAGAGAGAGGGGAGAGAGAGAGAAAAGAGAGGGGAGAGAGAGAGAGAAAATATGCGTGTGGTAGTGGTGGTCCTAACTCAGGCTGCCCTATTTAAAAGCTCTTTCCTCTAAGAAATAATGCATTATACAGACTGAGCAGGGTATATTTAGGTGTGTGTGTGTGTGTGTGTGTGTGTACATATATGCATTTAATGTTAGTGAAATAAGAAGCCATGAATTTGAAAGAGAACAGGAGGTGTGTATGAGAGGGTTTGGAGGAAAGAAATGGTAGTGAGAAAAGATGTAATTAAATTATAATCTCAAAAGTAAGGAAAAAACAACAACGTCTTAGAAAACCCCTTCTTTTGAGACAACACAGTTAGGGTCTAACAGTTGCTACCGTTGACAGAGGCTTCCCAGGTATCCCCACATTACCTGCAATCACTTCGATGCTCGGAATTGCAATGGTGCTGTAGGTGCTGATTCTCCTAGAGGACCATGTATACACCAAGGAGTCTTCTGCATTTCCTCGTCTCGAGATTGAGTCAATAAAGTATGAGCCCCATTTATTAGATAAGGAGTTAAGAGGCTTTACCTTTGGAGCCTGAAAGAGAAAGGAGCTGTGATTAGAACGGCATCTGCAGTGAGCTGGCCCTACAAGGCTACAGTCACTAAATAAAAGGAGTAGGGAAATGCTACAGGAACCCACCAGCCCAGTTTGGGGACACAATTCATCTTTGCAAAGAAAGTAATATTCCCTTATTATTAGGGCCCTTTAATGTGACCCAGAATTGGCTCTTTAATGGTTAGTTGTCACAATCTGAAAACTATCCTAAAGTATATTTTTTTTCTCTATGATTAAAATAATTCTAATTTACTTGTCATCACCACTAATATTATTACATGAAAGTTAATTGAAAAAATGTATTTTAACAGCAAAAGCCACTATGGGCTTAGGCAGAAACCTGGTGCTAGGGTAACTCCCAAGAATCCACAAGGAGAACACCAACTAAGGCTCCTAGCAGTAGTGGAGAGGATGCTCAAACCGGCCTACCCCTATAATCAGATTGATGAATACCCCAACTATCATCATAGAGCCTTCACCCAGTAATTGATAGAAGGAGACACAGAGATCCACAACCAAGAACGAGGCCGAGCTCCAGGAATCCAGGCGAAGAGAGGGAGGAGGGGACAAACGAGCGAGGGAGACCTAGATCATGGTATATGAGCTATCTCATTGGAGCCCATTCCCTATGGTGGGATGTCATGCTCACTCTCAATGCAGGGGAGAGGGGCCTGGCCCTGCCCCAGCCTATTGTACAAGACTGTGTTGCCTCTTCTTGGGAGATCTTGCTCATGAGGAGTGGACTGGGGGTGAGCTAGGGGGAAGACAAGGAGGGGATTGGGAGGAGGCGAGGGGAGGGTGGGAAGGAGAGCTGTGGTTGGAATGTAAAATCAAATAAAAAAATGGTAAAAATAAAAAAAAATCCAACTTCACTGGAATTTGCTCATTTAGTATTTGTTTTTCAGAAGAGACTGAGGACATGAAAACTTATTTATTGCCTTCAATATACCTGAAACAGGAAGCCAGTATATCACTAAAGGTTTAAAATTGCTATTATTTATTTACTATTATTTTAGACAGAAAGTCTCACAGTTCATTCCTGCTGGCCTGGTACTTATTATATAGATCAGGCTGGCTTCAGACTCACAGAGATCTACCTGCTTCTGCCTCCCCAGTGCTGGGATTAAATGCATGCACCACCATGCCTGGGGTACTAATTTTGCTTTTCTAGAAGAATATTTTCTAGCCTTCTCTGAGAAGACCGAGAGACTAAATATGCCCATTTCTAGGGCTAAACCCTGACTCTCTCACAGGTAGACCATGTGTGGATTTTCCAAAGCTCATTTAAACTGAATAAGTCATTAAAAATATAGAATTAAATGCTTCTGTAGGCATGTTTTGAACTTTGGGAACAGAGACTCTTTATCTATTACATGCTTGACACTTGGTGGAAAACTACATTTTTCTTAACAACCGCAGTGGCAGAATTCTTTTAGTTTTCTCTAGGGACTGTTTCCTTCCTGCTGTAACCGAGGATGTTTGAGTTCCATCCCCTCCACAGGGAGGCAGGAAAGAGTCTAAACTGGCAAGAGGCAGAGTTTATTCTGTGCAGTTGAGAGCAACAGGCCTGAGCCCTGCACTCCAGCAACAGGGCCTCGTCCGTGCGAGTCTCAGGGTTATGTCAAGGGATAGTTGTAAAGAAATTGAACAATTGCTTCATTTATGTTAAATGTGGGCAGAGAGATACACGACAGAGCACATTTTTTCCTTTTGACACTTTTCCCTTGATGATTTCACACATGTCTATTATGGATTTGGATTATATTCACTTCCTTACCTTCTCTCCCCTCCCCCTGAACTCCTCCTCCCCAACAAGTCCCCTCTGACTCTAGACTTTCATGTCCTTTTAAAAACACGACTCACTGAGTTTAATTAGGGCTGCTTGCATGAGCATGGCTGTGGGCTTTTTTACCGGAGCATGGGCAACGTAGCAGTGGCTACACCACTGAAGAGAAGGCGTTTTCGTCCCTGGCAGCCAACAGCTCCCCAGTTATGTGTTGGGGGGGGGGCTCATGCAGTTCTCCCTATCCACGATGGAATGATGAAGGTATAAACTAGGTTCTTAAAAGCAGACGATACAACTAAGTTGGCTACAGCTACCTGCTCAGGCGGATAATAGAGATTCGAACATAAACTACAGAAACATGAAAGTATCCAGTCAGACCCTGTTTTTTGAGACAGGGTCTCATGAAGCCAAGGCTGGGGTAAAACGCACTATGTAGCCAAGGCTAGCCCCTAGGTCCTGATCCTCTTGTCCCATTTATCACGTGGTGGACTACAGGCATATGAGACCACTCCCAGCTCGTTCTAGAATCAGGTAGCGTAAGGAGACTTCAGCTTTAAACACCCAAGGAAAGGCGGGGCCCTTACTTACGTCATATTTCCCTCTCTTCTCCAGGGGCTCTGCCTCCTCGGCCTTCTCCACTGCTTGCCCTCGAAGCTCCTCGAGGATGAGAACGGTCTCCCAGTTACTATAGTGACGAGCTGGGAAAATATCTGAGTGCATGCTGTCTCCAAAGTAAACGACCTGTGGTTCAGACAGAAAACTCTGGATGAGGCACGGATGCTCACGGAGAGCAGCCACTGCACAGAAAATATGAAAAACGCCCTCAACAGGCGTCAGAGGAGGAGAGCCAGAAACGGTATAAGTGGCTTAGGCGTCCGTAAATCATTTCTCAGGTGACCAATTACTTGCCCAATTAGATTCACAGGTTTGTGGAAGGAAGGTAGAAGATTTTATTAGATTTCCCTAGTGAAGAAGCGAACCTATCTATTTTCACATGTCTACACTTAAATCTGCCTCTAAAACAAAAACTGACAACCTACAGGTACAAAAACTGACAACCTACAGGTATTGCTTGTTAGGGTCATATAGCATTGTGGTGACACATTACTTATGATTTATTTAACTTGCCTGAGGATTCAGAAAGCAAAGTTAGCCTCAAGCTATAGAGATCAGGCAGTGCTGACAGACAGCTTTAATCCTAAAACTCAGGGTTAAGAGGTAGATGGATCTCTGTGAGTCCAAGGCCACCCAGATCTATACAAGATTGATCCAGTCCTAAAGGAAAACAGCTCACATAGAAATGATCTCAGCACCTGGGACCACAGGTCTTTAATCCCAGCACTAGAGGGTATAAAAGATAGGAGCAGGGTCTTTAGTAGTTTGTATCAGTGATTCATTCTCCAGCCATACTGAGAACAGGAAGACATTGAAGTCTCAGGACTCTCCAGCCATGACGTTTGGTGGATCCAGAATCTCCTTTCACTCTGAGGTAGAGTAAGAGCTAGCGACCGACTGCTTTGCTTTTCTGATCTTCAGCTTGGAGTTTGAACCCCAGTATCAGTCTCTGGGTCTTGTACTTTTCCTATCACACACCCTGCGAGCTCACTGTGGATCTGCTGAGACAAAACCCTGGGTGCCCTGGCTCTGCAGAAACTGAACACACGAAATGTTCAGTCTAGCAAGTAAAGTCCGAGGCAAAGCCCTGTTGATCCAGGGGTAAGAATCAGAGGCCCCTCCCTTCCAGGTCTGGTGTCCACTGAAGCCCTGACCACTTCTCAGGCGGCTAAGAAAGCAGGTACCAATGGACCAGGACTCAGCTACCCGGTGATCTCTCCTGCTCATGTAGAGGAAAGGATTGTGGGTAAACAAATACCAATGTCCAACCTGACAATGTGATCGAGGGGTCAGAGGCAAGTAATACTTTAAGGGAAAGCTAGTAAGCCTCTGCCATTTCGGCCACTGCTTGTTTTCCATATCAAATAGCCTTTGATTAGTTATTATCCATGTCTCAGGAATCCCATGTCTGAATCATGTACTTCCTAGATCTGGGGCTTCTCTGCAATCTACCAAAAGTCAGAAAAAGAGAGGGATGTAACAGGTTCTCAGAGGCATATGACCCACCGAGGTACCAAACTGTAACCATTTAAAGCCACGGTTTTGTTCACAATCATTTGTATCTGCATGTGGACATCAAGGACTCTGCCCAATTAGAAATTACCTTGGGTTCAGGCTTTCCGGTCATTTTCTTCAGAAGCTCATAGAGATGGGCAGCATTGCCTTGGGAGTACCAGCCTGGTTTATCCAGAGAGGGCAGCTCCTCCTGCTCCTCATCGTTCTCTGCAAACATGGTGGACAACCACTTTTTAGTTGGGCTACCGTCAGGAGGAAACCATGTGGGAAGAAGCATTCACGTAGTAAGCTCTCTGTGCACGTGTTCACATGTATGTATTTATATATGTACACAGGCATGGTACATGGATGCACGGTGCACATTTGGAGGTCAGAGAACGAATCTCAGGAGTTGGCTCTGTCCTTCAACTACATGGGTTCTAAGGATTAAACTCAGGCTGTTGGGTCCTCTGTCTTGGCAGGAAGCACCCTGCTGAGCCGTCTTGCTACCCTGCCTCTGCTTTAATAAAGTGCTTCACTTAGTGAACATAATCATGGAAACCCAATTAAACCCTGTCTTTTGAGAAGCAGGGGAGAGGGAACAGACTATTATCAGTGACCCGTTAAATCCAGGCTTGAAATCTGCATCATGTTCTAGCAGGATGAGGGGAGGGAGACACAGGTCCCATCACCTACCAAAGACGCTATCTGCAATTGGTACCTGCTTGCAAAAGAGGAAAAGTTAGTCTTTAATGGAGTCTCTCTGGGTTTATTAACCACACCAGGGTAAGCCCATGCACAGGAGTAGTTGGCCAACAAGAAACAAACCCAGTGGTGTTTTGATACTTTTTTTTTTTTATCATATTGCCTTTTTTTCTTGTTACTGACTCTTTGTACATTTTGTGATTTTGTGTGTTTTTTTTTTAAAGAGAGAGGGAGGGAGGGAGGGAGAGGAAAGGTATGGAGTTACATAGGTGAAGAAGTAGGGAGGCTTCTCAGAAGGGTCGAGAAAGAGGAAAATGTGATCAAAATATATTGTATAATTTTTTAATCCCAGCACTCAGGAGGCAGAGGCAGGTGGATCTCTGTGAGTTTGAGGCCAGCCTGATTTAGAGAACGAGTTCCAGGTTAGCTAGGACTGTTACACATTCACACCCAAGAGGATTTAATTACTTCACCCTACTCCTGGCTTAGGGCAGGAAGAGGGAGTAGAGGAAGACTCCCTGCTATTAAAGCGAGAGTTCAAGTGGTCCAAACAGTCTTCAGTCTCCCACCATGCCATTTGGTCTCTGCCTCCCGCAACTCTCCCTATCCCCAGCCCCTGAAAAACAGGGCTAGTGAAAGAAGACTGGTGTATCTGATACACTGGATTGGGCCTGCTATTATATGCCTTGGACACAGGCTGGGAGCTGAAGATAATCCGCCTGTTTAATACAGTCTAAATGAAAAAGATCATCGACGACTCTGGAAGCCATTCTTACAGCTTTGGAAACAACATGAGAGCAAGAAGCCCCCCTTTCCAGGAATGCAATGGCTTTAGATTTCAAAACAACTGACTGGGTCTTTCTTGTGATTTTTGTTACCTTTGGCCCCTTTGCTGTGCCTCTACCGACAGTCTCAATGAGACACAGGCACATGTTATATACAAAGGGCCCTCTTTTAGGGAATGAATAGCAAATTGCCATGGTCTCTACTGGGATCTGAGAAAGATAATTGAGGGTTCCTAAAGCGTAAGTTTTGTTAGCTTTGCTATGAAATCAATTTGGAACGGGACAGGAGTTTATACAGAAGGGGAAAACTATGTTAAGTCAGGTATTAAAAACACATCTCTAAATTGCTAAGTAACTTAAGCTAAAATTTAATTTCTACATGTAAAAGCCATAAGCAGACTCCCTAAATGTGTGCTCAGCTTGAAATACAAATCACCTCACACGAGTATTGGCAGACTAAATGATGGTCACTCACTGGAGCTAATTGGGAATCGATCTATTAACTTTACAATGACAAGTGAACTGTAACATGAAGAAAATGTCCACCCAATCTAAACTATTTTGAACAATTTTGAAAGTACAAGCACAGCTGATTAAAGCTGCATATACGACTGGCAGCTTATGGTCAAGGGGCTCTTGCTGTCATTCTAGAATCTCTTTTTCTAATTTTTCTGCATCAAGTGAAAATCCTACTCTCAAAAGAACAGTTCGGAGATCAGACCATCTCGTTGCCCAACATTAAACCTAAGAAGATCCAACCTGTTTCTTGGAGACATACACCGGAGTGTATCTTTTTTCATCTATTTTTGTTTAGCATCAAATGTCTTACTTTGTATAATGTAGGCTTGTGGACAAGTGGTGAATGCGGAGGTATTTTTGAGAGTACATTTATATTTTATATGTAGATAGTCACTTCTCAATGTCAGTGGAAATCTTTCTGTTGTTTATGAAGTACATGTACATAGCTCAATGGTAGGGTACTTGCTCAGCGTGTATAAGGTTCTGGATTTGATTTCTCGCCCAGAAAAAAAAAAAATTCTGCTTCAAATGGTGAGACCCAATCAGCTAAAAAAAGTGAGATAAGAAAGTAATTGATTTCTGTTTCCAGTTCAGATTCTAATTCATTCCACAGGGTGTGTAGAATCTATTTGTAGCTTTTTCCTTGTGAAAGTAGAAGATTGGGCTATCTATAAAAGTAGCAGGATGAAATTACTTTTAGTATATATCAAATGTTTTAGTAAGCAAGTCTGCAGAATACCATGAGGACTGTGATTATTATACTTGAAAGGTAGAGGCCATGATGGATGTGTAGTTAGGCCTGCAAGGGTGCATATTTCCTGAACCTTCCCTTCTCCTTTGCAGATTATGAAATTAACCTCCAGCCAATGAGATACAGTCACTACCCAGGCAATGATAAAGGGTGAGAACCATCCCAAGAGCCCACCCAAGTGCTTACTAGCCTGCTGTGAGCCATAACATACCCTTTTTATAAAGATACTTTGTCTTGCTCATGTATTCCTTCGAGTAACACTGAGATTACCCTTTCTCTATCTCTAACATTACTGTGATGGATTATGATTTTAAATGCAGTTGGAAGTCTCACTGTTTCTAGAATTCCTTCCTATATGTGAGCCTTGATGAACTTCATGTAACTTTCCCACAATGTGAGCTAGAATCCCTCCACACCCATTGTACAGTCTATGTATATTTCTTGCTATGAGTAGACTGAAAAAGGTAAAGCAAAATATCTATTAAAATGCTAAATTGTGTTGGTGAGCTAATTAGGGTTACTTACAGGAAGGAGCCCTACCAAAAGAAAAAAAAAAAATTCTTCCAGCAGTTAGTGGTTTACTTACAGGCTCCTTCCTGTAAGTAACTCTAATTAGCTCACCAAGTCATTGGTACAATCATTTTTTCATTTCTATTGACATCCTGACTAGGGTAAATAGATTTTTAATTATGTGTTCCTAGGAAAAGTTCACAGAACAGGGGCTATACCAGGAAAGCTATACTACTAAAGGAAACACACAGCTTGCTAGTAAGTTGGAGCAAATCTGAAAGAACAGAAACATGAATAGGGCCTGGGAGATGGCTTACTGGAAAAAGTGCTTCCTGAAGGACCTTGCTTGGCTACCCAGAGCCCACACAAGGCCCAGTGTGGTAAGCACACATCTGTAATCCTAATGTACCTAAGGAACTGTAACTAGTAGGACAGATTTAGCTACTTTCATTCGGTAATGTTGCAATGTTATGAGCACAGTGCTGGTAATGTTGCAATGTTATGAGCACAGTGCTAAGGACAGCTTTCTAAACACAGCTGCTACCCTCAGGAGGCACATCTCAGTGGGAGAGAAACCTCAGTGGGCAACTTCCCCATGACACCCAGGAGGGAATGGCCAAGGATCTCCAGGGAAGGACCAGAAAGGTGCTACCTGTGAGTGCCACAATGCAGAGTCACCAGGTAGAGGAGGGGATGCTTCCTCTGTATTGCCTTGTCCCTGAGAGCATCTGTCTGTCACCTTCTGAGCTTAGAAATGCAGAAACCAAGGCCAATTAAACCAGTCTCCATTTTCTCAAGAGCAGTAGGCGATTTTGTACAAACACTACAGTCTCAGAAGCAGTGACAGAGAGAGCAGCCAGGTCAAAGACCTGGACGAGGGGTAAAAGGACATGTTTCAGCATAGACACATACGTGACCAGTACACATTAGGCAAGGGAAGGAGACCTTACTCCCCAAAGGACGCTTACTTACATGGAGTGGGAACCTACATGCTTGCGTAACTGTGATTAAATATATACCGTGCCTGCCAGTAAGCGAGGAACTGAAGAGACCCTGCCCTGCTTAACAGCAAACAACAAAGTGATGCTAAAGCGAATGAAGAGCGCGGGAGGAGACAGAAGAGTCAGGAGGAGAGCGGCAGGGAGATTATGTAAGGGTTGCGCAGCAGCGATGCAACAGGGCAGTTTCAGGGTTAAGTAGGCATGGCAACCACACAAGGTGATCTGACTCGTCAGCATGCTTGGTTGTGAGAGGAAAATAAATGTTTAAACCACTCAGTGATACGCAGGGGAAAATAGCCGTGAGAATCAGAACAGGAGACTCTGCTAGGGAAAGATGGCGGAGTCCACATGTTGACAACAGCCGAGGCCAAGGGACCAAAGATGTATGCTGAATTTGCACGATGGGCTGGGCGGGGAGTGAGTTGGCAGTACAGTGGCCAGACAGGAGCTGGGTCCATCTGAAATTTATTACCTTCTAAGGGAGGATCATCCCTTCCTCCCCTAACCCCTGGAAAGGGCTGGGGTCTCCTTTGCATAGAGCAGGCATATGCAGGGAGGAAGTAGATTCTGCCCACGGGATGCTTCTCGACCCACAATTTTCTTAAGGTCAGCTGGGATCAGGCTGAAAGTGTTACTGGACCCCCATTGGCTACAGCACCATCAGCTCTTCTCCTTCTCTAGTTACCATGACAACCACTGACGTAAGGCACATGCCACTCACCACAGACAAACTCAATACAGAGATTGGCTCCTGGGATTTTCTATGTCAGCAAGGTCACTGCTTTATTTCATTTCTCTGCCTTTAACCGTCTGGAACAAAGATTTAATTTACTTCTGTAGGTTATAGAAGAGGCTTGATCTGATGGACATCGTTAACACGGCATGTGGCCTGAGAGTTGCAAAGCTCTTGTGGGCTGGAGCTCGGTGACAGAGAACGTACTGCAGTGCTGCCTCAAGTTGCATGAGACAAGATGAGGGCAGAGGCAGGAAGAGAGTGGCAAGCCGAGGGACAGGTGCAGAGCAGGGTGATACAGAGTGACTGCGTTTCCATTATTGTCATAAGATCGGTGGCTCTCAAAATTCCTAAGAAATTATGGATCGTGGAAATGAGAGCCATGCTAAGACGCAGGGGGCTGATGAGCTCCTATGAGCACCCCCAAGTTTCCAGACCTCGTCTGGGGTGTGGAAAGTGTAAAAAGCAAACTAAATCTCTGCAAGACAGAGAACAAGGAGTTGGAACCCATTAATGCATAAGTGAGAGCAAAAGCATCCACAGAGCCAAGAAGGCCAGCAGAGAGAAAAGGAGACCACACAGAAGAAGGCTGGGATCACTGTGGAGCCGGGGAGGTGTGGGGGGGGGGGAAGAGGGGGAAACCGGGGAGGCGGGGGAGGGGGGGAACTGGGGGGGGAACCGGGGCACTGACATAGTCCCTGGGCTGGAGAGGCCAGCAGAGAGAAAAGGAGACCACATATGAGAATGTAATGCACATTTGAAAAGTGGATTTTAAATGTGACAATACATGTGTTAAACTGCCTGAGTTCTCCATTATACAATGAGCACACATGTTAAAGTACCACGGTGTATATCACAAATATATAATTTCAGCTGTTAATAAATAAAATAAAAACTACAGTTAGGGAAAGTATAATTTTAAAAAAAGCTTTTATAGAACTACAAATATGATAATTTTGAAAAGTATTATATTTACACAGGAAGATCACTATAAAGTTAGTCTATCCTGGTCTGCTGTGTGAGTTCCAGACCAACCTGGGCTACATAATATGTCTCTACTTAAAAAATAAAACAAAATTTACAGGGTATATTTATTTTCAGTATTTCTCACACAATACTGTTATGGCAATTGCTTACTTTATGTACATATGTATGTTTAAGTGTGTGGGTGGGCGCCACCTGCACGCAGTGCCCAGAGAAGCCAGAAGAGGGTGCTGGGTCCCCTGGAACTGGGGTTGTCGGCAGCAATGAGCCCGGGAATTATCTAAGGAGCCACCTCTCTAGTTCCAGCGTCTGTATATTTAGGATCTATGTATTCATACATATGTTTAATGAAGAAGATTCTGAAGTTCCTTATAAACATAACTGAAAGCACAGTTCATATATGTTATCGTTTTTATCATTCCAGCCTGCAAGTCCAACGGTACCATACAACTAGAGAGAACACCCAGAAGTCGCGCCTGGGGAGCTTCTGCAGAGTAGTTTTAAACAGTTTCACTTTTATGTCTGGATACGCAGCAGTTAAGCAGAGTGACACTGGACAACTCTCAAAAGTTAATATGCCACCGAATATTATGGTCTGGATCTTAAATGCTACCAACAGCTTGTGTTGAAGACTTGGTTATAGCTAGTCATGCTACTGCGAAGTGAGGAGCTTTTGGAGGTGGCGCTTGGAGAAATCAGGCCCTTGAAAGTTATATTAGGACCCTGCCCCCGTTCCTGGCAGCCAAGGAGCACATCCATTCTCCCACACATCATTCCACGATGGTGTGGTATTTGATTTTGTTTTTTGTTTACACACACCCTTCCATGACTGTCTACTTTGTCATAGGCCAAAAATAACAAGGACAAGTGACTTGGGCTGCAATCACTGAAACTATCTCGCTTTAAGATTTTGTCAGAGACCTACAATAGAAAAAATATCATTAAAATGATCCCTTATGGTATTCTGTTACACTCATAGGTCAGTGCCTAGCCCAACTGTCATCAGAGAGGCTTCCTCCTGCAGTGGATGGGAGTTTGTACAGAGACCCACACTCAAATACGGCAGATAGCGAGACCAAACTGCAGATCTCTGACAGGTCCCTTCCCTTGGAGTTCAGCAGAAAGGATTGTAGGAGCCAGAGGGGTCAAGGACATCAGGAGAACATGGCTCACAGACGTCAATCCAGCAGGGGTCACAGGGGCTCAGAGAGACTGAGGCAGCAATCACAGAGTCTGTGTGCAGCTGGGTTAGGTCCTCTACATATATGTTATGGTTGTTAGCTTGGCGTTTCTGTGGGACTCCCAACAGTGGGTGTGAAGTGTTGGGTTGATGTCCCTGGGAGGCCTGCTCTGTTCTGAGGGGAAACTGAGGAGCAGTGGATGGGGGGGGGAGGGGGGAGACTGGGAGGAGTCTCTGGGAGAGCAGCAGACGCTCAGCTCATCATGCTGTCCCACACTATCAGGGCAGCTCACTCCCATCGTTCCTTCTCAACTGCAAAGTGTCTGCTCTTTTCATGTGACCTTGTCTCTCCACCAATCCCTTTACAACTATGACAGTTCTCACTCGCCTTCTCGCCTGTCGTAGAGAAAGCCCGTGTCTGTGTGCATATGTGTGTGCACATGTATTTGCATGTCTGTGTCCACATGTGTGTGCATGCACGCACGTGTCCCTGTGCTGTTTTGATCTTTGCGAATTCTGTAGGGACTTCTACTCCCAAAACGGTTGACTGACTCCCTCAAGCCCTTACAGTATATTCCTTATACCATGACATTTAGTGAGATCCATGCCCCTCGTCACTGAAAAGAGGGAGAGGCTGCCATGTAAACAAGTGACTACCACACGAAGTGAGGTATAAGAGAAAGCTGGGTAAAGTTTAATGTAAGCAGGGTTATATTTTCCTTCCCTTCTTGAGGAGACAGGGTGCTCCCTATATAACACAGTCTTTTGCACTTGGTGCTAGTCAAAGATACACATTAGAAACAGTGAAACACAACTTACCCAGTGTGTAAAAAGGCCTCTGGCTTGGGGAATGCGAGAAGAATCCAGGCTTTAATGCATTTGTAATCACAATGTCAAAAAGGTCTGCGAAATCCTTCCTAAAAAGCAAAGTAAGTTTCCCTTAAGGAATTAGAAAAGTTCCACAGAAAACAGAACTGTCTATTTGCCTGTGCATTTTATCACAGCATCAATGTTCATCTTTTGATGAACTCTCTCAGATGTTTTGTATTTATCTTATACACTTTAAGTTGGAAGCTATGCAGGCAAGAGAAGGCGGTTGGATACCAGCCAATTTTTCTGAAAATATCACAATTACTAAAAACATACATAACAAAGGAAAGAAAAGCAAGTAAAGAAGAATGAGTAGAAGAGAGAGGGGGAGGGGGAGGGGGGAAGGAGAGAGAGAGAGAGAGAAAACAAGTACCTAGATGTTCTCTTGTGAAAACACCTTGGCAAGCAAGAGAATCTCCAGGACCTGTCAACAGTCCATGCTTTCAAACACGAATTTATCTGCACTTATTAGCTGAAGAGTCAATAGATTTGGTTCTACACAGGTCCCACAGAATGCAATGTTATATTAAGCCCAGTGACAGTTCTCAGAGTGCTCAAAATGTGAGGAAGTTACTTTATTTTGAAAACCAGTGAAGTCCTGTAACAATTGTTAGATGGCAACATCAGTGTATAAGGAGCGATATGCTAAGGCCTATCTGATGAATGGTGGCTCTCCAGAGCCCACCATTACCCTGGAGGGTCAGTGCGTCAGGATCTGTGAACAATGAAATGTACACAGAGAAATTAAGGTGAGAGGCAGGATCTCTCTTGTCAGTGCTAGAGGAAACCGAAAGCCCTGTGTGTTCCCATGCATGGTCCTACACCAGGGCTGCAAAGGTCTCTTAAAAAGGTGCCCTCCCTAGGACCCTGGATGTCATCCTTAACTCACTGCAAGGATAGCTGCCTGGGGAGAGTAGAAAACCCATCCCCAGCTAAGTATGCTACAGACTAAATCTGCACACATGCTAAAGGACACAGAAACCCGGGGCTAAGGATTATTGATGGAGGTAAGGGGAGGGGCAAGTGTGTTTGCTGGCATGAGAAATCTTAGAGGAAATCTAACAACTCTCTGTGGAACCCTGCTTTGACTATGGGCCTTCCTTGGTGTTGCCAAGAATGACATAAATTAGTTTAACAATTATTAAAGTTTACCAGTTATTCTGCCCAGTATGTATGGGTAGCATGTACTGCACTATTTAAATATTCCTTTATATTCACAAAGAGGTGTGATCTGAGTTTAAACAATGAAATTAAGGCTCAAAGAAGTTATAAACTATACCCAAGGCCACAGATTGTTGTAAAGAAGGGCCTGAATCATCTCGATCCCATTTCAAAATCTGTTGCCCTGATTTTATGTTAATTCTACTCCTGGCTTCACTAAAAGGCACAGTGCATGGATCTTCAAGGCAATGGACACATGGGCTATACCCTCCAATCAGTCAGGAAATATATTCTTTTCTTCTTTTAAAGACTAATTTGAAGCAAATTTATTAAATAGTGGTGAGGATGACGGACACTGGCTGGGTTTCCCAGAGAATGGCTGTGAATTAAGTTAGTCAGCATAGAGGCAAGACCCATCAGGCTACATATTTTGCCCACCTGGGGACAAGCATACATGTTGACATATTTCCTGACTACATAGCTCCTGTCTACATGTGATCAAGCACGTTCTGTACAAATGGGCAGTCAACCTTGCTCACAGAAGCATTCCAGAAGACATCCTAAAGGGGAGCAAAGCAACCCATAAAGAGCAGCTGGCCACTTACCCAAGGATGTGAGTGCCAAGAAGTTTACAGTAGTCGCTGTGAGAACTGGTGATCAACATGGTAATTTTCCCAGCATGCTTCAGCTGTCGAAGCCACCTTTTCACAGACTCAGGACAGCGGTGCACATACTTGCCTAGATTCCTTTTTATTTCTGGAAAGAAGAATCCACAATTTTCTGAAAAAATAAAAACAGAAAGGCAATGTCTTTAATAAAAATGTTTTTAAAATTACTCTCAGAAAAGCACATGTCTTCAAAGCTACAGAAAACTAGAAGGCATAGATACTAGGCTCAAACAATCTAGCCATTTTGCCGATACTACTTTTTGTTTGCTTGTTTGTTTTTGGAGATAGGGTCTCTCTACGGAGTCCTGGCTATTCTGGAACTCAGAGATATGCCTGTCTATGCCTCCCAGTGTGAGGGTTAAAGGCATGCACCGACTGGCAGCCTAATTGCTTTTAAAAGCAGTATTTCTGGGGGTATAGCGATAGCTAAGTTATTGACTGTTCTTGCAGAGGACTTGAGAGCAGCCACCAGCTGTTAGGCTGTCAAGCAGCTCACAAACGTCTACAATGCCAGCTCCAGGGGTCCAATGTCCTCTGTTGTCCCCAGTGTCCTCATTCAGACACAGATATCCCACACAGACAAAGACAGACAC